TCAAGTAGAATCGCAGGCAATAGTACATCCCCACCCGATGGGCTCAATGTATTCTATGCTCGCTTTGAACAGAAAGACAGTGAAACAATGTATGGAGCTAGAGGAACACAGCAGGTCAGGCAGCATCAGAGGAGTAGGAAAGTTAACATTTCAGGTCAGGACCCTTTTTCAGAGTTCTGAAGAAAGGTCTTGACCTGAAACGTTGACTTTCCTGTTCCTCTGATGCTGCCTGACCTGTGTTCCTCCAGTTCTGTACTGTGTTGTCTGTGACTCCAGCATCTGCAGGTCCTGCTATCTCCCAGTGACTTATAACCCCACTGTGAAGCCTCTTCCGAGGATGCCCAGGTTGAAGTTGTCGTCCTCCCTCTGGAAAGACCTCAGTGGATATCTCTCCCACTGCAACCCACTGGTGATCTCCTCCACCCTGAAACTCTTTGACTACATACTTAAACAAACCCGGTACTACAGCCACATCTTTTTAAAAGTTCTGAAGAAGGGTTCCGATCCAAAACATCGACTTTCCTGCTCCTCTGATGCTGCCTGACCTCCTGTATTCTTCCAGCTCCACACTTTGTTGTCTCTGACTCTAGCATCTGCAGTTCTTTCTATCTCCCAGTCACAATATCACTTCTCCCAACAGCCTCAGACACACCTGTACCCATGACTGCAGATGTTAGATTGGCCTTCTTGAGTGAATCCATGGAAAGCGACTGGCCTGGATGGAGTCCCTGGCCATTTGTAGATGAGCCGGAGGAGTATTCGCTGACATCTTGAACCTCTCCTTATGAGGACCTGAAGTGCCCACCTGCTTCAAGAAGACCGCCATCATCCCAGTGCCAAAGAAAAATCACGTAGCGTGCCTCAATGACTACCACCGGAGGCTCTGACCTCTGTTATTATGAAGTGCTTCGAGACATTAGTCATGGCTCACATCAACTCCAGCCTGTCAAACTGCCTTGATTCTTTGCAATTTGCTTACTGGCACAGCAGATCCACAGCAGACACCATCTCCCTGGTCCTACACTCATCCCTACAACATCTGGATAACCAGGATACCTATGTCAGACTCCTACTTATTGACTACAGTTCTGCCTTCAACACTATAATTCCAAACAAACTCACCCCTAAACTGCGAGACCGAGGTGTCAGCTCCCTCCCTCTGTATTGGACCCTTGACTTCCTGACCCATAAACCACAATCAGTAAGAATAGATGCCAACATCTCCTCCACCGTAACCCTCAACACCGGTGCCGCGCAAGGCTGTGTACTCAGCCCTCTACTATTCTCCTTATACAATCATGATGCTGTGCCCAAATTCCACCCCAACTCCATTTACAAGTTTGCTGATGACACCACCATTGTAAGTTGGATCTCAAACGACGAGACAGAATACAGGAAGGTGATTGAGTGCTTACTGGCATGGTGTAAAGACAACAATCTCTCCGTCAATGTCAGCAAAACAAAGGAGCTGGTCATTGGCTTCAGGAAGTGGAGTGGAGAGCATGTCCCAGTCTGTATCAATGGGGTTGAGGTGGAGATAGTCGAGAGTGTCAAGTTCCTGGGAGTGACGGTCACCAACAATCTGTCCTGGTCCACCCACTTGGTGCGACGGTCAAGAAAGCACAACAACATCTCTACTTCCTCAGGAGGCTACGGAAATTCAGCATGTCCACAAGGACTCTTCCTAATTTTTATAGATGCCCCACACAAAGCATCCTATCCGGCTGCATCACAGCATGGTATGGCATCTGCTCTTCCCAAGACCGTAAGGAACTACAGAGTCATAGACACAGCCCAATGCATCACGCAAACCAACCTTCAATTGGCTGACTCTATCTATACTTCACACTGCCTCTGGAAAGCAACCAATATGATCAAAGACTCCTCGCACCCTCATTATACTCTCTTTCACCCTCTTCCATTGAGCAGATGTAAAAGTTTGAATACATATATAAATAGATTCAAGAACAGCTTCTTCCCGGATGTTGTCAGACATTTGAACAGACCTCTCAAATGTTAATACTGATCTCTCTCTCTCTCTCTGAACCTTTTCTGTGTATGCTGCACTTTATGTTCTGACCTGCCTGTATAACATGCAAAACAACACTTTTCACTGTCCCTCGATACACGTGACAATAATGAAATCAATCGAGATAGTAACAATTCCTTGAGAGCTTAAGCTATAGATTTGTAAGTTAGCAATTCATGTTGATTTCCTGACATTGGTTAAAACTGTTTGATTTCAATAAATACTGGTTTTCTTCTTAATGATAAAGACCTGGTGCATATTCTTTTCACCTGAATTAGATAATCGGGTAAAACTGGGCAATTCAGTGGATTTAATCAAACTTTCACCTTTGTGAAGAAGTGACTCTGGAAAACATGGGCCTTGACTTCCAGCACAGTGTCTAGTGAGTTGTGACAGTATTGAGCTACAGTGTGATGGGCACATGTGCAAATACTTTTCCATAATGTATGTGATCCAAACTTTGCCAAAAAGACACCAAGTTAAAAACTCAAAGTTTTAAGGAGAATTAACAAAAGGAAGATTTAAAATAATTTTCACATCTATAGCGTCTTTCACACAGTAAGACATTGCAATGTGCTTTACAAACAATTAAGTGTTTTTGTAGTGAAATTCCTGTTGTACTGTTGGAAACACATTAGCTGATTTGTGCACAGCAAAATGCCACAAACAGCAACAAGCAGCTCATCTGTTTTGGCTGTGGGATATAAAATGGCCACTATACTGGGAGACATATCCCTGCTCTTCTTTGATAGAGTGGCCATTGATGGTTTGTGTCCAGGGCATCTGTGGTGGCCTACGTTTGGAGCCACAGCAGTGAGATGCAAATGTCTGCTACATAAAAGGCTCATGACTCTTTTTTTCCTCTTTATTCATTCATGGGTTGATGGCGTCGCTGGCTAGGCTAGCATTTGTTGCCCATCCCTAATTGCCCAGAGGGCAGTTAAGTGTCAACCACATTGCTGTGGGTCTGCAGTCACATGTAGGCCAGACCAGGTAAGGATGGCAGTTTCTTTCCCTAAAGGGCATTAGTGAACCAGATGGGTTTTTCCTGACAATCGACACTGGATTCATTGTCATAATTAAACTTTTAATCCCAGATATTTATTGAATTCGAATTCCACCATCTGCTGTGGCAGGATTCAAACCAAGGTCCCCAGAACATTATCTGGGTCTCTGGATTAACAGTCCAGTAAAACTACCACTAGGCCATCGCCTCAGAAGTGGGATGCAGGACCTTCTTGACTCAGCTGATTCCCAGCTGACACCAGGTACAGAAATAGCAAATCTACAACAAAGACTCACTGGCTGAAGCCATCAACCAGCAAATTCAGGTGCAAAACAGCTCTGCTTCACACAGGGACTGATGAGCATTTCCAACGATTTGCAGGGTCAGATAGTGGAGGAGGAAATTGACATGATTTAAACAACATTTGGATGAATGACAGTAGAATGTGGGATCATTTTGAGTGGAGGTGGCAACTATGCTTATTTTAGAACCTGCCCTCATACTGTAACCCACCACTTGCTCCAAATCTCTATGTCCAGATGGACAACATGCTCTGACTCATCCTGCAGGCTTTTTCTCTCTCTCTTCCAGGAAAATACAGGACCTTCGTTGCATCCCTCCCTTTTCCTTTCCTCCCACCTCTCCTTTTTATCAATTCTCTTTCTCCTCTCCTGTCCAGTCCCTCCCTGCTTCCCTGACGTTGCAGTTTGCTGTAACCTTTCCCCTGAATTCCAGTGGCATGATCCTATGCCACGCGTTGCCAAAAGCAGACGATAATGACCTCTCACCCAAAAACCTACAGAACTGGGAGGTGAAACAAGACACAGAGCCAGAGAAAACACACAGACAAATCCATGTAGGAGCCCTGACACAACCCACACTCAGAATCTTAGGGTCACTCTCCTTTACTTACACAGTGCGTGTATTTAAAATGACCACTTTCAAAGACCAAAGGCCTACAGAGAAAAGAATAGCATGCATTTACATGCTGTCTTTAACAAAATAATATTTCCCAGGAAATTTGGCAGGAGTTTTATCTGGAAAAATTGCTATAACTTTTGTCACCAAAGCATCCTAAGATCTTTCTTGCTTCCAGGAAAATGCAGCAGCTTTGCTGCAATCCATCCTCCAATCCCAATCTCTCCTTCCCTACAACATCCCAAAATTATCTGCGCCCCTCTATCTATTGCCTTTTGTACAGTCCTTGGCGTTAATTGTTACAGTGCTGGTTCCTGTCCCTTCAGCTGCCCAAGCCCTAAGATGGAGAACTCCCTCCCTCAACCCCACTGCATTTTCTCCTCCTATAAAGGTGCTGCCTGAAACCAGCCGTATTCTGTTTCACAGCAGATATACAAAACACCTGTAAGGAATGTGCTCATGATGTCATCACTGTTTCATGGCATGTGACTGAATGGTGTCAGGCTCTCAGCCTCCATTTTACTGAGCTCTGTCCCCTTGAAGCATGACATGCTGAGTAATGGTAGTGTGCTACAGTACACCTGAACTGCTTGGCCTGAGCCCAGACACACAAATGCCCATGACTAAAATGTACATACATAATTACAACAACCTAAAATAAAGTTAAATGAATCTTCATGTATTATTTGACCCATGTTTCATACATTAGCTCCTGTAACAATAGTAAATTTCACACTGTGATAGCTGCAGATTCACACCTCACTGTCATATCACCAACCTCTGACTGAGCTTTTTGATCGCCTGTCCCTAATATTTCCTAACGTGGCTCACTGTCAAAGGTCTTCTACGCTTGTCTGAAGCACCTTGGGACATTTCACAATGTTAATGGCGATATATAAACGCACATGCTTTTGCCCGACAGTCTCTCCCCATCCATTCCTCGGTGTATGATTACACCAAAGCTTACTTTTAAAACCATCAATAGAGAAACACGGATTTTTAAAGATACCTCAGACCCATGTTCCCGTGTCTAACGCACCCACAAACCTGCTCTGCCTGTAGGGAGCCAAAGAGATGTCTCTTTTTTAAAAGACTGACAGGTAGCCTCTTACCGGTGTGGCCTCAGTTGCATAGGGATGTACATTGCGCAGTACAAGAGAGCAAGCCGCAGACTGCCAGGTTCTGAAACACATGCAAACAGAACAGGTCAAGCACATGTCAAGTTATGCTGTCTGGAGACCCCAACACTACTCAATGAATGTATCATCACATCATCAGTGTCTGAATATACTAGTATTGCACTTTACTGAAACAGTAACTGCACAGTACCAACGTTGGGAATATTACCAGGTAAATGCTTGAAACATGAGTGTGATACTCCCTGTTCACTGGGTATTAACCCATTTAAAACAACTGGGTAATTTTCTGAAGAAGGGTCCAGACCCAAAACATCAGCTTTCCTGCTCCTCTGATGCTGCCTGGCCTGCTGTGTTCATCCAGCTCCACACCTTGTTATCTCAGACTCCAGTATCGGCAGTTCCTACTATCTCTGGGTCATACCTCTGTTGCACGAACAAACAGACAGCTGGTGAACCTAGTATCAATAACAGTGATGACAAGAAAATCTATTTCCTGAGGTGAGGAATATCTAACATAGAAAGACATAACCTTAATTTTTTCTTAAATTCTTTCCACAAGGTATAGATTTCACCAGCTAGGCCAGCAGTTATCGCCAGGCTCTAACTGCCCTTGAGAAAGTGATGGTGAGCTGCCTTGATCTGCTGCAGTCGTGTGCTGTAGACCCACGGTGCTGCTGGGAGGGGAGTTCCAGGATCTTCAGGACATTAATGCAGCCACTTTCGGAATACTGCGTTCAATTCTGGTCTCCCTGCTATCAGGTGCCAGTTTGGAGAGTTTGAGCTATAGGGGGAGGCTGAATGGGCTGAGGCTACTTTCCCTGGAGCGATGGAGACTGAGGGGTGACCTTAACGAGGTTTATAAAATCATGAGGGACATGAATAGGGTGAAAAACCAAGGTCTTTTTCCAAGGGTGGGTGAATCCAAAACTAGAGGGCATAGCTTTAAGGTGAGAGGGCAAGGATTTAAAAAGGACCCGAGGGACAACTTTTTCCACACAGACGATGGTGCGTGTATGGAATGAGCTGCCAGAGGAGGTGGTGGAGGCTGGTACAATTACAACATTTAAAAGGCATCTGGATGGGTACATGGATAGGAAGGGTTTAGAGGGATATGGGCCAAATGCTGGCAAATGGGACGAGGTCAGATTGGGATGTCTAGTTGGCGTGGATGAGTTGGACTGAAGGGCTTGTTTCCATGCTGTATGACTCTGACACTGAAGGACCAGATATATATTTCCAAATCAGGATGGTATGTAGCTTGGAGGGGAACTTTGCAAGTGGTGGTGTTCCGACAAAATCGCTGTCTTTGTCCTTTTAGATGATAGTGGTCATGGGTTTGGAAGGTGCTGTTGAAGGAGTCTCAGTCAGTTGTTGTAGATGGTCGGCACTGCTGCCAGTGACCATCGGTGGTGGAGGGAGTGGATATGATGCCAGTCAAGCGGGCTGCTTTGTCCTGGATCGTGCAGAGCTTCTTGAGTGTTGTTGGAGCTGCACTCAAGGCAATTGTAATGTATTCCATCATACTCCTAACTGGTCCTTGTAGATGGTGAAGAGGCTTTGGGGAGTCAGGAGGTGAGTTACTTGCTTCAGGATTCCTAGCCTCTCAGGGTGATGTCAGGAAGCATGCTACCACTCTCTTTGGAATCAATATTTCCACTTCACTATCTGACTTGAGGAAGACATGATGTGTCTAATTAAAATATCCAACTTCTATAACATTTGAAAAATCAAATTAATTCAGTACAAGTGACCCCCTCCCCAGCCCCAATAAACTTCAAGAAGTATTGGAACTGGTGACACTGAACTTATACTGAAGGGTGAGTCAGTAGGAATTGCTGGTTATCGTAACAGAAACTACGAGCAAAAAACTCTGCCCGGCTTCTGCATCTATAGGGAAGAAAACACTGGCAACTTTCTCACCAGGGAGTTGATATGTTTCCTGATCAATTTTGTTCCAGAACAAGAATCTTTGACATTCTCAATTCTCAGCTGCTATACATTACATTCTAAGTTCTAAAGAGCCACCAATTCATAAACAAGGCTGATTCAAATAGAACATTTTGAAATTTCCATCATTTGGACAATAACAGGAACTTGCTTGCAAATCTGTGATGGGTTCTCAAGTGCAGGAAGGTTTATCATTTTCTCTTGTGGGAAAGGGAGGTAAATATTGCTCTTTGGCTTGGGGAGCTAAAGAGATCAAAATAATAAAAAGTACTTTGGCAGCAAAATCTCACTTTTGGTGAGGAGGTAGGTATGATTTTTTTTTCCTGAGAGACAATATTGAAAGAAATTGTGAAAAGGGATCCAGCATCAATACCCACTGAGTGTTAGATTCACAATTAGTTGCCATGAGATGGCACACATTCAACAATGTGTGAGAATGTAAAAAGACTGAGGATTGATATTGCAGTTTTAAAACAGATGCTGGAGTATATAGAAATCTCCAAACGCAAATGGGCCCTTGACCCTGCTTCACATTCAATAATATCACGTCTGATCTGGTTAGTCCACACTCCTGCCCATCCGCATCAACACTCTACCCTGGGGCAGCATAATGGCTTAGTGGTTAGCACTGCAGCCTCAAAGCAGCAGGAACCTGGGTTCAAACGCAGCCTCAGAAACTGTGTGTGGAGTTTGCATATTCTCTCCATGTCTGCACAGGTTTTCTCCGGGTGCTCCAGTTTCGTCCCACATTCCAAAGATATGCAGGTCAGGTGGATTGGCCATGCTAAATTGCCCAAAGCATCCAGGGATTTTGTTTTTATTATTCATTCATGGGATAAGGGCGCCACTGGCTAGGCCAGCATTTATTGCCCATCCTTAATTGCCCAGAGGGCAGTTACGAATCAACTGCATTGCTGTGGGTCTGGAGTTACATGTAGGCCAGACCAGGTAAGGATGGCAGTTCCTTCCCTAAAGAACATTAATGAACCAGATGGTTTTTTCTGACAATCAGCAATGGATTCACGGTCATCATTAAACTCTTAATTCCAGATTTTTATTGAATTCAAATTCCACCATCTGCCATGGCAGGATTTGAACCCAGGTCCCCAGAACACTACCTGTGTCTCTGGATTAATAGTCCAGCAATAATACCAATAGGCCATTGCCTCCCCCATAATTGCCTCAGACATTCCGAAGATATACAGGCTAGGTGGATTAGCCATGGGAAATATAAGGTTACAGGGATAGGGTAGACAGTGCTGGGTTGGATGTTCTTCAGAGGGTCGGTGTGGATTCAATTGACCTAATGGCCTACTTCCACACTGTAGGGATTCTACTCTATGATTCTTATGCTTATCAAGAATCTACCCGTTCCCGCCTTAAAAACATTCAAGGACTTTGCTTCCACTTCCTTTCCTGGAACAGGGTTCCAAAGACTCATGACCGTCTTAAATGCGCTACATCTCATTTTTAAACTATGACCTAGTTCTAAATTATCCTACCACTGGAAACATCCTCTTCACATCCATCCTGTCCAGGATTTTATTTTTCAATCAAGTTGCCTCTTACTCTTCTAAACCCAGTGGATACAAGCCTGGCCTGTTTAACATTTTCTCATAGACAACACGCCCATTCCGGGTATCAGTTTAATAAGCTTTCTCTGAATCCCTTATAATGCACATACATTGTAAAGATTGTCTTTTCACTTTTCTGTATTTTAAATTGTGGACTGAAACAAGTAAACATCTGTTTTAAAACCAAGAATTACTGTTGGAGGATTTTGCTGCATGTTTTGATGGGAAGTCACTCATTATGAACAAGGTTTGCAGAGTTGCTGGTTCCAGCAGTGGTTGAAGTATGGTTTGCAGGTGAACTAGAGACCAGGGGTTGGGTATAGATGGAGATTTGGTTGACAACAAGCTCATCAGTCTGTGGACTAGCAACCAATTATTGATGAAAACAGACAGGGGATGCCTTCAGATCTCCACTAGCTCAGGAGCTCCCTCTGTTCTCTGCAGTAAAAGCTACTTTAAGCATGAAGAAAACAAGTTTATTTTACCTCCAATATTTACTGTGAGCTGTGACTTTTAATTAGTAAGTCAGAACCTTTTATAAATGAACCAATCACTCACAAACCAGTGGAAGCAACTGAAGGAAGACTGAGGA